TGTTATCTGTGTCTGAAATCTGGACATTCTGTCAGGAGGTGTAGATTAAAAACAGTTTGTTTTACATGCGGCAAAAGGCATCATATTTTTTTCTATGTAAGGGCCATTCACAAATGAGTGAGACAAGGGCAACGGAACAGCCTCCAAATCAGGCTGAAACACTCGCCAACATTTCTTCAAGGTCTCCTAAAGTTTTTGCTGCAAACAATAAGAGTAATAATTAAAGGAGATAAAAAATCTCGTTCGGCTCGAGCTATAATTGATACTGGTTCTCAAAGGTCATATATTCTGCAAAGCGCAGCTCAAGATATGGGTTATAGGTATACGGTAAAGGAATACCTTAGCCACGCATTATTTGGCGGTACAACGACCAGTTTGTGTGAACATAAAGTTTACAAAATTCATTTATCTAATATGTCTGGCTCGTACAGTTGTAATTTTGATGCGTTAAGTCAGCCTGTTATTTGTAATAGTATACCTTCTATTGGACAAGGAATATGGCTTAAAGAGCTTGCTGACTGTGGAATAAGTTTAACAGATCGTTTAGAAGGACCTATAGAAATTTTAATAGGAGCCGATGTTGCAGGACGATTATTAACGGGGAATCGTAAACAAATTTCAAACGGTCTTGTAGCTATTGAAACAAAGTTAGGATGGACGGTTATGGGAAAAACCGGGGAGTTGAATAGTGAAGGTTCAACATTCTTAGTTACATCAATGTTGAATAAAGAGGCTTGTATTTCTGATTTATGGGCCCTCGACTCGCTTGGTATTACGGACCCATCCGAACAAAAGAGTAAATTGGAATTGTATGAGGCTACCAGGCAACATTTTCTTGATACTGTAAAAATAGAAGATGACCGCTTTGTAGTGTCTTTGCCTTGGTTGGAAGGGCACCCTCCCCTGTCGGATAATTTTGAGTTATCGCTTAAAAGGTTGCACGGTACGATTAGGCAACTTGAAATAGATAATCTTCGCCAAGAGTATGAAAATATATTCCAAGAATGGCTCAAAGAGGGCATAATAGAGGAAGTACCCGTAAATGAATTAGATTTACCCCATCATTATTTGCCACATAGACATGTTGTTAAGGAACATAGTACTACGAAGTTACGGCCAGTATTTGACGCTTCGTCTAAAGCAAAGGGTTCTCCGAGTCTCAACAACGATTGTCTTGAAAAGGGATTAAACCTTATTTCATTTATTCCTACAATCTTAAATAGATTTCGCCAAGAAAAAATAGGGGTGATTTCTGATATTCGTAAGGCCTTTCTACAAATTGGCCTGAATTTCTAGTGACAGAAACTTCCTCCGATTTCTTTGGATAAAGGGTGAAGATGGCTTGAAGCATTTTCGTCATTGTCGAGTCGTATTTGGTGTAACCTAGTAGTCCATTTTTACTTGGAGCTGTTATTCAATATCACTTAAATTCAATTTTGGAGAAAAATGATGCAGATGTAAAATATCCTTCCAACATTATTGTTAAATTAATGAATAGTTTCTATGTTGATAACTGTGTAACAAGTGTCGGAAGTGAAGATGAATTACAGCGCTTCATGAAAGTATCTTCAGATGTTATGGCAGAACGAAAATTTGAATTACGGGGTTGGGAATATACCGACTGTAGTTTAGAAACAGAAATCTATTGCGAATGTATTAGGTTTGTTATGGGAAAGACAAGGCGATACTCTTCAAATAAATGTTGCTAATTTACAAAATCTTTGTTTCGAGAAAGTTACGAAAAGAAGTATTTTGGCAATAGCCCATAAAGTATTTGATCCCATCGGTATAACATGTCCAGTCCTTATATTACCTAAGATGTTATTACAGCGTACATGGGAAACAAAAGTAAAATGGGACGAAGAAGTTAACACCGAAATTAAAAGTAAATTTTTGAAATGGGTAAAAGACATTTTTCTTTTGAAAAACATTAAAATTCCAAGGTGGATACGATATCAGCCAAAACAGTGTTCAATCCATGTTTTTCTGTGACGCCAGTCAAGCAGCGTATGCGGCAGTAGTTTTTATTCGTGTAGAAGAACCTGAATCAGTTAAAGTCCAGTTGCTTCAGGCTAGGTCTAGAGTTTCCCCTTGTGGTAAAAAGGAAACTACTATTGTAAGATTAGAATTGTTAGCAGCAACTATTGCATCTCGTCTTGCTGCAGACGTTCTAAAAGACTTTGAGGCCAGAAGTATATTTTTCTGGACAGATTCAACTACTGTCCTTGCATGGATAAAAAGGGAAGAACAATGGGGGACATTTGTAGAAAATAGAGTACAGGAAATAAGGCTTTTGACACGTGTGGAGGATTGGAGGCATATACCTGGTCACCTTAACCCTGCAGATCTTCCAAGTAGAGGGTGTTCAGTTCGCCAACTCTCCCGGTCAAAATGGTGGGAGGGTCCGAGCTGGCTTTTAAAATCCCAAGAAAATTGGCCGAGTGCCGAATTTATAACTGATGAAGCGGAAATAGCCAGCGAGAAAAAAAGGCAGTGGTTTCATCTCTAGTGTCTACTGAAAGGTTTAGTTTGAGTGAGCGATTTTCTAGCTATCGAAAAACAGTTAGAGTTGTTGGTTGGATTCAACGATTTTTCTTTAATTGCAGAAATAAGAAAAAAAGGAAAGGTGAACTCACTGTTGATGAAATTGATTTTGCAGAAAAGGTTGTTATTCGCTTGATTCAATCGGAATCGTTTCAGGATATAGAAGACGCACGCTTACGAACTCTTAGTCCATTTTATGATGCGGGAATTCTAAGAATTAAAACTGGTGCGTTTCGAAGAGATGACACGTTAGAGTTTAGAACACCTATAATATTACCAGGAGAACATCCATTAGTTAGGAATTTAATTATGGAAGAACATAAAAAGAAAGGACATGCAGGTGTACAATATATACTGAATACCTTAAGGGAAAGGTTTTGGTTGTTATCTGGCAGAAGAACGGTGCGTTCTGTTTTGAGTAAATGCATTACTTGCAAGAGATATTCTGCTGCACCTGTTGACCACATATCAGCCCCACCGCCAATAGAGCGAGTAAATGATTCAGCAGTATTTCAAGTAACGGGTATAGACCTTTGTGGTCCTTTATTGTTGAGAAACAAAGAAAAGGCATGGATTTGTGTTTTTTACATGCGCCGTTTATAGAGCGGTCCATTTGGAGTTGCTGACTTCTCTATCTACAGAAGTGTTTCTTCAGGCTTTTCATCGGTTCGTGTCACGAAGAGGTAAACCCACAACTGTGTACAGTGATAATGGAACTAATTTTGTAGGAGCTTCAAATGCATTTAAATTAATAGATTTTGAACAAATTAATCGGCAGGCAGCCAATGAGCGGATAACATGGAAATTTATTCCCCCTGGTGCTCCATGGTGGGGTGGTTGGTGGGAACGTCTGATCGGAATGATGAAGCAAGTCCTTAAAAAAGTTCTTAAACATGCTTGTTTAAATTATGAAGAAATGTACACGATACTGTGTGACTGTGAAGCGATTCTTAATGACCGACCGTTGACAGTAATTCCTTCCGATCCTGAATTTAAAGCTTTAACTCCTGCCGACTTTTTAAAAGAAATTAGAACTAGTAGTTTGCGGGATATAAAATACGGTATTAAATCAAGTAATTTACAAAGAAGATTTCAGTATATTCAAACTGTACGAGAAGCATTTAAAAATAGATTTCGTAAAGAATATTTGGGAATTCTCAAGGTTTCGCATAAAAGAGCTGAAAGGAAAGTTACTATTAAATTAGATGATATTGTTTTGATCGGTAGTAGTGACAAAAGACTTTTTTGGCAACTTGGTCGTGTCATAGAACTACTTCCAGGACCTGATGGAATAAATCGGCTTGCAAGAGTAAAGACCCGAAATGGAATTTTGCTTAGAGCAGTTCGAACTCTGTATCCTTTAGAGGTAGCGCAAAATGATGTACCCATGAAGCTGCAGAATGAAAAACAAGATTCTTTGTCTGAACTTAAACTCAGCATAGATGATAAATCTGTCAGGCCTGTAACACGATCTGGTAGAACTGTAACTCCGCCGGACAGACTGGCATATTAAGGCTCTTTGGCATTGTTTTACTTTGATGTGAAAGTTCACTTTTTTTTCTTTTTTTTTTTTCCTTAGGTGGAAGGATGTTAAATATTTGCATAGTCGCCTGTAGTAACGGCAACCGCCGGCAATAAAAGGAGGTGCTTTCCTTAGTGGCACCGCAGTTCCTTTTAGTTCGAGCCAGAATAGACCTGCCCGGGGAGAAGCCAGGGGATGAGAGATTCCGGTTTCCGCCCTGTTCCGGTTCCCGTCTTGTTGCGGATCCAGTCCTGTTCCGGTTCCCGTCTTGTTCCAGTCCAGTTCCGGTCCTGATCCAGTCCTATTCCAGTTCCAGCCTGGCCGTTTAAGTCCAAAACACGTAGGAGCGGATGTCTGAATTCTGCGAATGGAGATATACGCCGAAAGGGCTAGATGGATTCTGTCTTTTAAGGGAAAGTGTTCTTCACCGTGCCGGCATAGCTGTTACTTTAAAGCACTTTGAAGTTTTTCCACCCAAGATGTTAAGTTTTTGTTTGTGATGTTAAGTTTTCATCAGTGTTGAAGTTCCAGTTAAATAAACCTTTAAGTTTTAGACAAGGTTTTTGTGTTCTTCAGAAAATTTTAGATTCGAAGTCAGATATAACACATAGGATTATCATCGAAAAATCAACACTCGCAGTTCGTCTACGATTTCGAGGATTTTGTTGACGTGTTCTTCGAGTTTGTATTCGTTTTTGCTTTTAAGTATAAGCTTTCTAAGAATAAAGTTTACTGGAAGATTCTTCCTTCATGAATTTTTTTAATTCATTCCATATTTCTTTGGCTGTCGTTTTATTCTTATGTGTACGATTTGGTTGTCTTCTACGAGTAAACTAATGGTAGCTTGTGCTTGTTCATTCTGTTTTGTCCATTTGGCGTTTATTTCTTTTGGTGTGTCATGTGCGATTAAATTCCATAAATTTTCTTTTTCCAGGATCATTTCAAGTTTGTGTTTCCATACTTGATAGTTGTTATTATTTAGTTTCATCATGATCGAATATTTATTTTCGCAGCTAGTAGTTATTTCTGCTTCTGTTTTTTGAATGCGCAGTACACAACTATGCAGTTTTGTTTTGCTTTTGAAGAAAGGCTTGGCTTCTCCTTTTTCGGATTATCCAGCGGTAATTTATGGCAAAGTATCTTTTCTGTTTGTATTTTTTATTCTTGATAGCTTATCTCAATATATTTTATGCGTTTAGTTGAAGTAAACATGCGCTCGGTCTTCTAATCTAATGTTGAAGGTATGTCGTGGTTCATTTTTGTTTACTGTTACAACTTTCGCTAAATTCGAGACGAGCAGATGAATAAAACAGAATTAAAGTTCTTACCTTTGATAAAGTGTAATCCAAGCTGCCGATGTAAGGAACACGATCATTATATTAGCAAACACAAAATAAATTTATTAGGTATTAGAAGAATAAAAAATATGTAGAGATGATTACAAAGAGTCGTTTGCTGTCCATTGCATAACGCGAGAAATGAGTCATACAAGGAGAGATTTTTTTTTTTTTTTTTTTTTTTTTTGTCAAGTCCAATCACAGTTAGCGGGCGTGAGGGGGGAAACTAACGTCGGAGTTGTACAGCCTCATCGCTGTCGTTATGAATTGCTCCACAGGCCGTGCCTTCTTGAGAAACGGCGGTTTCTACAAGCACTAAATTTTTAATGCCCATACTTCTTCACATCTGGAAATGGACACCACAAAGCCCGGTTTGTTAATTTCGGATTTGCTCTTATTTATTTTATATTTTATACGAATTTAATGAGTCTTATTAACAAACTCAAAAATTTAAAGCAATGTATTACGACTCATTTGAAGCGAACGAATTTGTTTTTAGAATTTGAAAAGAATTTAAAAATTCGAATACACTCGGTGATTGTAAAGATAGGTGTTGTCATTGCCTGAAATAAAATGCTTTTATTTGCCACGCTCCAGTCTCTTGCCATTGGTCAATAGGTATTTAACTATTCTTTCAAATTTAATGTACCTGTTATTCGTTAACAACTAAGCGATTTAAAAGCAATAATGGCAGTTCTATTTTTTTAATTAACTGTTTTATGCGAATAGATATTTTGAAATTTTGACATCTAAAAATACATTTGTTTTAACACATTAGGAAGTACACTCTTAAAACAAGTATAAAAAATATAATGTTGGATATTTTGTACATTTCAAAAAGTATGTACTGCCTATCACTTTTAGTAAATGGGATGTTTTGCTTCTATGTTTGCGTCACGTTATTCTCCTATGTTATGGGTCATTTTAACGTAATGCTATTTCTTAAATAGTTATTTTATTTATTAAGTTTGCTACAGGAGTATTCTGAATTGATACTGCATTTTCTATTTATTCCATTTTAGTAATCTAAAAAGTTTTAAGGACTGACTAGAAGTTAAGGTTATTTACGATGTAATATATTCTCTGAAATGGGAAAAAATTTAAAAATTACAACGAGCGAAAAATTTTTAATTTCTTTTATTTTATAAGCTTATATTCATTTTTCTGAACATTTCTTTTTCAAAGTTAATTGTATTATTTTTATAATGAAATGCAATATTATATTCTTTAATGGGACATTATTTTTTATTATTATTTACATAATTATTAAGGTAAGACAAACAAAACGGGATTCACTAGGTGCGAAATTGTATAATAATACTTATTTAGAGAAAATGGAGAGAATGCAACAATCTAATTCTCCAAGGTAGTTTAAGAAAACATACATACATTTATTTATTCCGGATAATGTACATAAATATGAACGTAAAATAAGAAACAATAAATTTATCACAAGGTTATAAATAATCCCCATTAAATGGAATCAAAATCTAAACGACAGTGAGATGTGGGAAGTGAGATTCTTATGCAATTAACTCAACAACACCGTTAAGAGAAGAAATAGAAAGCGCTAATAGCGGGTATATCATATATATCAGCCTAAATCTGTGTCAATGTATACTGAGGATAACCTATCTGGTTTTTCTTCTCACAAACATTAAACTTACGATTTCTATATGAACGTATAAGTTATAGTTTCTGTTTCAGAATTTCATGAATTCAGATAATTTTAATTGAATAAACTGAGAAAATATTTCTGAGTGCTCTTATATTCCTGCTTCATACAAATTAATCAGATTACTATTTGTATAAAAATATGGATTTTTTTCTTTCGAATTTAGTGTATGCTTAAAACTGACGTAAGTATTATTTTTCAGAAATAATAAAGCTCCTAGCTGAGAGATCGACGCCATACATTTGACATCCGTGATAGAAACTGTCGTATTCCTTTAGAAGTTGCTTGCAGATTTCATGGACCAGAAGCTGCTCAGATTCTCTTGTCAAAAGGCAAAAGTGTATTTGGAGAAGGTGACCGACCGGTTTTATTAAGTACTCTAAATAACAGCAAAGCATACAAGTATGCTATTCCAATGATATCTCTGCTTTTAGACGCTGGTGCAAACGTAAGTAACGAAATCAAATCAGTATTTTAAGTGATAAATGTTTAGTGTTTTCGTTCGGGCGCTGTATAATTCTGTTGTGTAGAGTTTGACGTTTTACAAAAAAATGCCAAGGGATGCCATTTTTGCCTTAAAACTGCATGAACGACATAACCTAAAGCATCAGCAGCGATTTCCATGTTCTGGTACGCTTCCGTGATTTTTAACACTGGATCATTAATTACAGCCGTTTTCAATTGTTCAAAAGCCGCGTTTGCCTCTGCTGTTCACGCAAACTTTGATTTCTTCCTTTTTTACACTAACAAGCGTTCAACCATATTGGCGAAATTTTGGATGAAAAGAACGGTAATAGGAGCACATAACCAAGAAAGCATGAAAGTTTCTTTGCCGTATTTGGTGGATAGTCTTTTTTCAGTGCTTTTATTATAAATCATCCACAGTCTCGTTACCCTTAGCTGAAAATTTGTAACCCAGATATCTCAGTAAGGCTGCCAACTTTCATATTCATGCATTAACAGTTAACACTGCTTCCTTTAATAATAAAAAAAATTCGTGGAGATCTTTGACATATGCCTCTGTTGTCGCTGGTTATGATAACATAGTCATAACATAGTGTATATCATTGAGGACTCCCCGAGGCAGAACGTAGAATAATGTTCGAAATTTCAGAGGGCTCCGCAAAGGTCATACATAAACACGCCCGATTTTGTCATAAACATCGCGTTATTCACGTCTTCGATTTCATGGCTATTTGAAATTAGCCTGAAATAAAATTAAGAGTGGTCATGAATTTTGTAAACCTAATTTTCCTTATTATTTCCTCCGTTACCGGTAAAATGTAAACAGGAAATTTAGTCATGCTATTTAATTTTCTGTAATCAATGTCAAAAACACCAGGATTTGAAATCCGAGGGTGGGAATTTCTCTTTCTGCATAGCACAACTGGGCTAGCGCATTCACTATTGATGGGGATTATTTATTATCTTTTTAGTATTTGTTGTATATGGGGCTCCATTATTCCTTTTCTTCATCGTATCGATAATTTTCACTTTACACGGTTCGCTTGATATTAATTCAATGGTATGTGTGATTATTTGCGTATTTCTAGGCTTTTCAGAAAATTATTTGGAAAATTTACTTACGAGCTCTTCAAGCTCTTTCACATTGATTTAGATGGTGGAGGTCGACTTTGTTAAATTGCTTAAGTTCACGCCGGGAAATAATGTTATGAATCTTACTTCCCGGCACCAATGTTATATCTTAAATTCATATAAAAATGTTAAATATGAAACTACTTGCCGTAAAAGGCAGTGATCGTATAGTGAAACGTGTACAGCATTTTTGCGTTGTGAAAAAAATGCATCCCGGGACCGCGCCGTGAGAGGATCGAAAACATAAAACATATACAAGATATAAAGGAAAAGTTCATATTAAATATATAAAGAAAACATACTGTAAGAGGTTCCAGATTAAATATCAGTTTATTCGAATTACAACACAATAAGAAAAATCTTAACCTCATCTGAGAGTCTGTTCATTTAAATTCATAAAAAAAACTTAAGGTTTGTCTGGTGATTTAAAAGAAAGGAAAGGGAAACTTTAAGGCCTGAGAGTTAAATTTTAGATTTAACGTTTGTTTTTTTTCGCTAAGGACGTTTTTGAAAAGCTTGCCTAAAGTTCAAACACACCAAAAAAAATAAAACTTATCTTGAAGGGACATCTTCAAGCGGAGGACTCGTATCTTATCCCGCGTTGATGGTCGGCCGGGGCTCATCTTGACACTGGTTCTAAAATGTAGACCCACTCACTACTGTAGAACAGAAACAGGAGCACTGCTGCCCAGGACGGCTATCCGCTTGGTCCTGAAGTCCTATGTCAACACGCAGGTAACTCGTTTCAATTTCGCCGGTCAGAAACGTTGTTGCTAGGAAATTACGGCTCGCCTGTTCTACTCATCCCAAGAGCAATCTTCACGGGTAACGTCCCAAGTAAGTTCCAGAGTAACATCCAAAGTCCAGCAACCACAGTAAGTGCGCGAGTCCAAAAGTAAGTGTGTAAGAGAGTCTCGCCTCTTAACCAAACGCGGCCGGGGAGCATATTTGCCGCTCCCCGCCAGAAAACACCTCTCGGAGTCACTTACATTTTGTCCAGCAAGCCCAAAAATCAGCGAGTCAGTCCGAGCGTCAGCCAAAAGTAAGTCTGTCCAACTCAAATTTCCTTCTTCTCCTTCACCAAACGGGCTCCCACTATGGCTTCACTTATCGCCCCCTTAATTATGGCAAAATCTTCGTTTTCAACTCCAGAATGCGGAAAAAAAAAAAGGTGATCGCGCATGCGCGCCCTTCTTCACTTAGCAACAACCGGACCGGACCCTCAATCGCCAAAAACCTGAATGACTTACATTGAAGACAAGTAGCAACCTTTGACCTTTCCGTCACGTACTTTCCTCTCTTAAGGTCAACTAACAATGAAAATTCTTTCTTTCTCGAACATTCTAAAAGCGCGCGAAATCATGACTTGGCGAAAATTTTGCCCTCCCTTTCCCTGCTTCTTTCATTCACATGAATAAAAGTTTGTACAAGATTTACAAATAGAGGAAAAATAAATAATACTCTTTTAAACTAAATAATATTCCCAGAAGCATCTGTCTTTCCCCAAAAATTAAAGCCTTAAATTAAATAATTCAGAATCAACATAAAATTTAAATTTCCATAAATCATAAAATCATTCACCTAATTTTTATAACGCTATCCGGTAATTTCTCTACATAACAACTTCTGGGATATTTTCGTCTTCAACCACCCCTGGCACCATGTCGAGGATAAGAGATTTGTCTCAATATCTACTTTTCCGTTGGCGGTCCGTGCCTAAAATAATTTAATTCTGTAAATTTTAAACGACAAAGAAACAAATTTTCAAATTTTTATTTTTTTTTTACCTATATGTTAAGCGATAGCTTTCCGATGCCTTCTCAAACTCTTCCTTGTGCGGCTATGATTTCCGTTCTACTGTTTTTAAATAATCTTACTTTTGGAAAATTCCAGTAATAGAAATTTTTGTTCAAAAAATTTCCTTGCCTTTCAGAAAAATGAATTTGTGATGCAGTTTGTGAAATCCAAACAAGCTTTTGCCATTCTTCGGTTTTATAGGCGGCCCAGGATTCAGAGTAAATGGTCGTGCATTTTTCAATGATTTTCCATGATTGCGTTTAACGAAGTTGAGGCTTTTCGGTCATGCACTATAACAAAGATGTCTTTACTTTCGCGGCAAATTTCGCCGAAAATTCATTCAGGTGTCAGAACTCGGCCAACGTTATTTGTTTTGCCGATAACAGACCTTTCATCAGTCTTTAAGACTAATCTTTGGCCAGCATTTCTTAAAATTATTTTTATAACATTTGTCTTTTGTCTCGTCGACGCATATTTCTCTCAAATTATTGTTTGCATCCATTAACAGTAGTATCAGCCACGTTGAGTTCCTTCACGCAAAATTTTACTGATCTCACTTCTTTGGCAGATGAGTATGATGGCAGTAATAAATGGAAACCTAGGAAATGTCTTGTAATAAATGAACAGCATCTTCTCAGAGATTACACACACCAGCTTCATTTTTTCGTAGATCGCGTAGACCCCCGGTCAAGCTACATGCTCCGTTCTTAAAACTTGGCTACGCCATACAAACTTATTAGCGATTAATTTGTCTTATGGTTTAAAGTTGACAATATTTTTCCCCAGAATTTTGCATTTTATGGGCTAACATAAGTACCTAAAAAAATGTCAGTATAGCACTAATTTGTCATAAAATTGCAAAAGTACCTAAAAGAGCAGTAACAAGTTTAATGTGGAACCTTCAAAAATATCTTAGCCTAAAAACATGCTTCAAATTCCTGTATATCGTAGCGTGGTTTTTCATCCTTTATTAATATTTATCGCCCGAAAATCGCGAGCCGAAATTTATGCGAATAACGTAATTTGCGAAAGCATACGTTTACAGTAAGAACATAAAAAAAGGGCATTCGTGGATAAACACATATCATAGCATTTTTTCTTTAAAAAACACGTTCCGATAAATAACGTATAGTCATATTATAATAAAATATCTGATAAAATATTCAAGAATAGTAATATTATCATAAAAATATGTAATAAAATATCTTAATTTCAACTTCCTTGAATCCTTACTCTTGGCCGTACTGATTTTTGTTCGGTGCTACTCTGTTTGCCACAAATCATTTAATACGGCTCAAATTGCTATCTCTATTGGCTGCTACAGCTTTCAGGTCATCACCCCTCTCATCGTCTTTCTTGCCGTTCAGTCCGTCTTCTTATGTGCAGTGACTCTTTTCTTACGTGAAATGACTCACTTAAAGTGATAGTGCCTTACGTGCCATGAAGAACATTATATTATCCCCATTTTCCTGAAGCTTTTTACTACTGCTGCTTCATCACTCCCAGCTCCTGCATCCAAAATCCACCAGCAAGATAATAATGAAGATGAATTCGTTTCAAAATATCGAGGATCTCGTTTTATGAGCGCTTTGAAGAAGCTGAAAATTAATTGAACAACGAAAAATTTCAAAACATTGTGCTAAACTGCTAAGATGAAAAGTACGCGAAGGGTAAATATACAGGTGTAAATATGATATTCAAACCGCTAAAACTTTTACTCACTACAGGAGAATGCATGAAAATAACAGATGTTTCCTACTATGTACCTCATTAAATACTAGCATTTAAAATTTGATAAAAAATTTGGAAACAGCTTTAGTATAGCCCACACAGAATTTTAACCAAAAAATATCGCCAAGAATGGCGATAAATGATATTATCGCCACACCTTTTTACGAGCACGTGGTATCCCATACTATTCGGCAGACCCAATGTAAGCAACTGTAAATTTCTGATTTCTTAAGAAGATGGAATTATGGTTACAGCTAACATAGTGGTCAATTACAATTGTATTCTTACTTTTTTCGGCATTTTGTCTCACACTGCATTGAAAGGGGAAATACAACATTTTTTATTATAACTCTACTAAAATTAACTATCTAAATACAAAATTCCTAACACTATTTTCGGCAATTGTTTAACGCTCGGATATTGTGTAGAATATGTTTTGGAGATCAGAATTTTGGCTACTTTGGAGGTGAGATATTTGCATTTCTTTATGGATTGCTCTAAACCTGGTGTTAGTGATGTTGTAATTAAGTATCAAAAGATTTTAAAGGAAAAGTTTACATGGGAGTTTTCAAACAAGCGTAAACGTTTGGGAAAGCCAGTCATTCGAAACAGATAATTTACGTATGAATTAAACAGGTGTGTGTGTATGGTGTATTTAATTACGGCAAAGCACACTAGGGCTATCTGCCTAAGGGGAGGGATGCCTTCGTGGAGGACTTTCTAAGGGAAACTGGCTCGTATACACGTTACACATGGGGAAAACCACTAAAACACCCATGCAGCCAGCCCGTTCGCGGGATTCGAACCTCAGACCGAACTACCAGTGTTCAGCGGCCGACCAGTGTTCACCGCTCGGCCGCTGGTGAGCTCTATGAATTAAACAAGAGAGAAATGAGCTGCATGAACTCCAGAACTATTATCCACGATTTCTGAGCCGCCATACTTTAATCACGGAGTTTCGTCAAAAATCTTGATGGTAACCATTTTTGAGACAACGTATTTCACGATGTTTTGGCGCCCAAAAAATTCACCAAACTTCGAAGGTGGGCTATACTGAAGCTGTTTCAAAATTTGCTTACTTTTGCAGAGAAATTAGATTTAGGGACTTTTCGGGGGGGGAATTGAAAAATCCACTTTCGTACATAATTCTTTATTCGAAAAAATTCACAGTTTACGTAACCCTGATCGGGCCGACTGTTTTACAAGAACCAAGGTATATTTGAAACAAGTCGCATACAGTTTAGTACATATTTATCTTCATAAAATAAATAAAAATAGTAAAAATATATGAGGATTAAGACTAACGTCTCGCCAGAGAGTTTCGTTAACGTTTTTTTTATCTCCTTTTTTTTAAATTAGCACAACTGCATATTTGTAGAATACCAGGTGCACAAGTATTGGCAAATACACGGAAGTGCCACTGAATTAGGGTTAGTCATGACTATGCAAATTTTACAGCGTTGCACCGCATCTGTGCTCACGTGAGGAAGTTGTCGTACGTGCACATACAGCTAACACTATGGTTGTTGCTAATCAGTCGTTTCAATTGCCAGTATGGGTAAAACTTCTGATTTAGACAGATCCAATCTCGGACAGATAGTAGACACTCGGTTGCATGGGCCATTTAATTTCCAAAATCCTCAGCGGGCATGGATTTTAAAGGTTGATAGTGTCAAGAGTATACCGAGAATACACGGATGGTGCAAAAAGAACTAGCCTTTGGGTAAATTGAAAAAGACAATTATTCATTTTTTTCAATGCCTTTTTTGTCAAAATCAATTCATTGAAAAAGTAGGAAAATTATTCTTAGGAAGTGTGTTGGTGCTTTTAAATAGCTTAATTTGTTAGCGAATAACCTTCCAGATTAAATATGAAAGCGAAATGGCTGAGGAAACAGAATAGCAACAGCCTATCGCGCTCGTGATAAAAGCATTTTATTTCTGGCAGTGGCAACACATTGCTTTCGAATAGCCGAGTTTGTTAATTCAAATTGAAAATAAGTATCTTACATTTTTAAAAATGCAGCATTCTCGCAGCCTCAAGGTAAAAATGTTTTGTTTCCAACAATGTTACTACTACTCACTTTCAAATCGCTGTGTTTATTTTTTAAAAAATTATTTAATTTGTACAAAATATGAAAACTAATTTCAATTTCAGAATTCTGTCTTTCAGGTTCACATATGTTCCTGCGTAAGACTACGAGTATTTAAAATATAGGTTGCTCTATGTCCCGTCGTTTTTTCACAATGCGAGGAACATACCTACCTACATTCATATATATTCATACAGAGTCTTTATTATTTAATACTTTTAAAAGTAATACATGGCAACAATGACGGCAACAATTTGAAAAGTGATTCAAATAAAAAGTGGTGTGAATGAAAATAGAGTATCAGTCTCCTCCTTAATAGAATTTCGCCTAATTTTTTAAATTTTAATCAGGTTATCTGTTTTTTATGCATCACTGCTAATAATTACGTTTACTATTACATCAAGTATTATTCACTTAACTATCTTTGCTGCAGTGTATTTTTTATTTTCTCAACTTTTGAAATTCGAGTGACATTTGATAAATAGTTGTCATCTATTTTCCCAGCCTGTCTCTTTCTCCCTGTATTTATGCATCTGAGCGTATGTGTCCATGTTTTTTATAATGGATACAGGAAATGTTGCTTCAGTATTTTATTTTTATCAATAGATGGCATTTTTGTCACATTTCTTCTTTACTGGGTTTCGATAGATTACTCATGATTTTATTGGAATCAGAATTTTTTTATTTATTATTTTATGGTTCATCAAGTGTTTGTTATCATTTATTAAACTATTCAAATATTTTAATTTAGATGATATTTTAATGTCCACTTTCTTCCTCAGATTGACGCTGCCGACGGATCGGGGAATACAGCACTGTTATCTGCTTTAGAAAACAAAGCCCACTGGAGATCAAAAAGATTTCTACACAGATATTTGTATGTTTTTGATAGACCGTGGATGTGATGTTAATATTTCTGCGTGCGGTCAAACTGCTCTGCATATTGCTTTTGAAAAAAACAGAAACATTAGTTCGAGAAAGCTACTCATTTCTGGAAGTCACATCGACAGACGTGCTGTATTCGGAACCTCCATTGTACTACGCTTGTAGAAATGGAAACCAGAAAATAGTTGAGTTACTCGTAATTTGCGGTGCTAAATTATGGGCCGAAGATTGGGAAACTTACTTCGAAATGTGGAGTAGGGGAGAAGAATTAATGAGAAAATACTCAGGTATTAAGTTATATAATTAATGAATCGAAGCAGTGTCGTACCTTGCAGAACCTTTGCAATGCAACTATTAGAAAAAATATTAGAAATTTAGAAAAAGATTCCACTGGACATGGATTACCACCATCACTGATTAAACGACTACTACTTCAAGACTGATGGAAATATGTAATGTAATTTAAGGACATGTGCATAAACATGGAGTTTATATGTTTGCAATTGATAAGTGATTTCTAATTATGATTAAATGTCTGAGGTATAAAATGTAATAAAAGGAAAAAATATATATATATAACGAGTCCATTTTTCTCTTTCCCACAAGAAGCAGTTTTACTTAATTTACTGTTTGACACTGAAACGTATTTGTTATTCCTTTCCGGAAATGCTGTTCTTAGTTTATAACAACACAAACAAGCTACAATAATAAGATACCACAAAACTTTGCTCAAACGAAAATCTATATTATAACGCATTTGCGTTGCCAAGCTACAAATATGTTTCCACTAAGAAATGTAAAGAAAACCGCGCGCAAGAATATCCGTGCAAACGATGCATGCGCTTAAAAATGTTTCAGTTTTCTGTATGTGTGTGTGTGTGATTATGGCAAAGCCTCGAGGGCTATCTGCCTAAGGGGAGGGATGCCTTCGTGGAGGACTTTCTAAGGGAAACTGGCTCGTATACACGTTACACATGGGGAAAACCACGAAAACACCCATGCAGCCAGCCCGTTTGCGGCATTCGAACCTCAGACCGAACTACCAGTGTTCAGCGACTTTACCGCTCGGCCGCTGGTGAGCTTTATGAATTAAACAAGAGAGAAATGAACTGCATAAACTCCAGAACTATTATCCACGATTTCTGAGCCGCCATACTTTAATCACGGAGTTTTGTCAAAAATCTTGATGGTAACCATTTTTGAGACAACGTATTTGACGATGTTGGCGCCCAAAAAATTCACCAAACTTCGAAGGTGAGCTATAATGAAGCTGTTTCAAAATTTGCTTACTTTTGCAGAGAAATTAGATTTAGGGACTTTTCGGGGGGGAGGGGATTGAAAAATCCTCTTTCGTACATAGTTCTTTATTCGAAAAATTTCACAGTTTACGTAACCCTGATCGGGCCGACTGTTTTACAAGAACCAAGATATATTTGAAACAAGTCGCATACAGTTTAGAACATATTTATCTTCATAAAATAAATAGTAAAAATATATAAGGATTAAGACTAACGTCTCGCCAGAGAGTTTCGTTAACGTTTTTTTATCCCCCCCCTTTTTTTTTTAAATTAGCACAACTGCATATTTGTAGAATACCAGGTGCACTAAGTATTGGCAAATACACGGAAGTGCCACTGAATTAGGGTTAGTCATGACTATGGAAATTTTACAGCGTTGCACCGCATCTGTTCTCACGTGAGGAAGTTGTGGTACGTGCACATACAGCTAACACTATGGTTGTTGCTAATCAGTCGTTTCAATTGCCAGAATGGGTAAAACTTCTGATTTAGACAGATCCAATCTCGGACAGATAGTAGACACTCGGTTGCATGGGCCATTTAATTTCCAAAATCCTCAGCGGGCATGGATTTTAAAGGTTGATAGTGTCAAGAGTATACCGAGAATACACGGATGGTGCAAAAAGAACTAGCCTTTGGGTAAATTGAAAAAGACAACCTAAAACAAGCGTGGTGTAAGACAGCTCTATTTGGTGTAATTTCATAAAAGTACTTATGTATTTCTAATTATTCATTTTTTTCAATGCCTTTTTTAATAGCTTAATTTGTTAGTGAATAACCTTCCAGATTAAATATGAAAGCGAAATGGCTGAGGAAACCGAATAGCAACAGCCTATCGCGTTCGTGATAAAAGCATTATTTTTGGCAGTGGCAACACATTGCTTTCGAATAGCCGAGTTTGTTAATTCAAATTGAAAATAAGTATCTTACATTTTTCAGAATGCAGCATTCTCGCGGCCTCAAGGTAAAAATATTTTGTTTCCAACAATGTTATTATTACTCACTTTCAAATCGCTGTGTTTATATTTTAAAAAATTATTTAATTTGTACAAAATATGAAAACGAATTTCATTTTCAGAATTCTGTCTTTCAGGTTCACATATGTTCCTGCGTAAGACTACGAGTATTTAAAATATAGGTTGCTCTATGTCCCACCGTTTTTTCCTAATGCGAGGAACATACCTACCTACATTCATATATATACATACAGAGTCTTTATTATTTAATACTTTTAAAAGTAATACATGGCGACAATGACGGCAACAATTTGAAAAGTGATTCAAATAAAAAGTGGTGTGAATGAAAATAGAGTATCAGTCTCCTCCTTAATAGAATTTCGCCTAATTTTTTAAATTTTAATCAGGTTATCTGTTTTTTATGCATCACTGCTAATAATTACGTTTACTATTACATCAAGTATTATTCACTTAACTATCTTTGCTGCAGTGTATTTTTTTATTTTCTCAACTTTTGAAAATTCGAGTGACATTTGATAAATAGTTGTCATCTATTTTCCCAGCCTGTCTTTTTCTCCCTGTATTTATGCATCTGAGCGTATGTGTCCATGTTTTTTATAATGGATACAGGAAATGTTGCTTCAGTATTTTATTTTTATCAATAGATGGCATTTTTGTCACATTTCTTCTTTACTGGGTTTCGATAGATTACTCATGATTTTATTGGAATCAGAATTTTTTTATTTATTATTTTATGGTTCAAGTGTTTGTTATCATTTATTAAACTGTTCAAATATTTCAATTTAGATCATATTTTAATGTCCACTTTCTTCCTCAGATTGACGCTGCCGACGGATCGGGGAATACAGCACTGTTATCTGCTTTAGAAAACAAAGCCCACTGGAGATCAAAAAGATTTCTACACAGATATTTGTATGTTTTTGATAGACCGTAGATGTGATGTTAATATTTCTGCGTGCGGTCAAACTGCTCTGCATATTACTGTTGAAAAAAACCAGGAAACATTAGTTCGAAAGCTACTCATTTCTGGAAGTCACATCGACAGACGTGCTATATTTCGGAAACCTCCATTGTACTACGCTTGTAGAAATGGAAACCAGAAAATAGTTGAGTTACTCGTAATTTGCGGTGCTAAATTTATGGGCCGAAGATTGGGAAACTTACTTCGAAATGTGGAGTAGGGGAGAAGAATTAATGAGAAAAATACTCAGGTATTAAGTTATATAATTAATGAATCGAAGCAGTGTCGTACCTTGCAGAACCTTTGCAATGCAACTATTAGAAAAAATATTAGAAATTTAGAAAAAGATTCCACTGGACATGGATTACCACCATCACTGATTAAACGACTACTACTTCAAGACTGATGGAAATATGTAATGTAATTTAAGGACATGTGCATAAACATGGAGTTTATATGTTTGCAATTGATAAGTGATTTCTAATTATGATTAAATGTCTGAGGTATAAAATGTAATAAAAGGAAAAAATATATATATATAACGAGTCCATTTTTCTCTTTCCCACAAGAAGCAGTTTTACTTAATTTACTGTTTGACATGGACCGTATTTGTTATTCCTTTCCGGAAATGCTGTGTTCTTAGTTTATAACAACACAAACAAGCTACAATAATATAGATACCACAAAACTTTGCTCAAACGAAAATCTATATTATAACGCATTTGCGTTGCCAGCTACTACAATATGTTTCCACTAAGAAATGTAAAGAAACCGCGCGCAAAATATCCGTGCAAACGATGCATGCGCTTAAAAATGTTTCAGTTTTCTGTATGTGTGTGTGTGTGATTATGGCAAAGCCTCGAGGGCTATCTGCCTAAGGGGAGGATGCCTTCGTGGAGGACTTTCTAAGGGAAACTGGCTCGTATACACGTTATACATGGGGAAAACCACGAAAACACCCATGCAGCCAACCCATTCGCGGGATTCGAACCTCAGACCGAACTACCAGTGTTCAGAGACTTTACCGCTCGGCCGCTGGTGGGCCCCTCAGTTTTCTGTAAGTTTTGACTAATAAAATTTGTTGTTCGATCAAAAATGGCGAGATTTCCCAAAAACTTCGTTACAGACGTATAAAGGAATAAATACCTGGTGGTAGTCGCTGCGATAGAAAGGTGACACCAGTGTTTATTTAAAAAGAAAAGAAATACTGTACGTGCGAGTGTAATTTTTTATGAATACTATGGCATTTTATATGAAAACCTTTTTATTTTATTATTGAATTCCTCTAATAGAACGATATTCTAAGTGTAAGCTTTTGGATTAAAGCGTCAAAATATTTAGCCTGATTACGATGTTCTTTTACAATTTGAGCTTTTGTTTTAGCGTGACAAATTTATTACGTTCATATTACAATATTTAATAATTTGTAAATGGCGACATTTAATATTTAGTAACTTGTAATTGGCAACACTTTGGACAGGATATTAAATTAGAACTATGCTGGTATTGCAATTCTCCGTAACATTCATTCTGTAATTCTATAATATACATACATTCTATAATTATAAATAAATAGTTTCTAAAAACTAAAAGTGCACCCACATTATTTTATATGGTGCGAGAAGTATTTTGCTTTCAACATGGAAAGTTTAGCCTCCAGAGCCAATGAATTATGATCGAAATCTTGCTTCAAATTGGCAAAGATGTCTGCAATTATTCGAAATATATGAAGTACCCAGTGGATTATATAATAAAGAAGAGAAGGTAAGAGTTAATACTTTTCT